TCTATAAGGTAAGGAGTGGTAACATTTATCAAAAAAAAAAAAAAAAAAACTTATGCTTTTATTTAGGACTCAGCACTGCACATTAATAGAAAACAATCAGGAAAAAGTAAGACTTTAAAATGGAGTAATATCATGTTATAATATTTATTAAAATGATTAGCTTTGTTGAAGATGTATGAGGGCCCATAGACATGAATGGGAATTGCAATTTCTAATTTTTTATTAAGGTCTAATTTTTTATTAAGTCATCTTTTTAGTGTATTTAATTATTGTGTACTTAAGATGGTTTTAGCCATCCTGGTCTCAAAGATGTATATTTTAAAATTAAAATTATGTAATAATTATTTTATTGACATTAAGAATATAAATTTTATATAATAACAATAATTTAATTACATTCATATGTGTGTTTGTTAAAATTGTAATCACAGAGGATTTTCACTTAAATTGCTTTCAAGGTAAGTCAACATTTAAAAAAAATACAAATTGTATAGAGCAAAAAAACTAGACTTGCAAAATATTTATTCATACTGCTCAAATTTTACATGTCCTTGTATAATAGATGAAAATGGAGGACTACTACTTTTGTTTAACTTTATTTAGCATTATAGTTCTATTAATAGGCCATTTTTATGAAGGTGGTCAAGGATAATATATAGTCCATGCCCTTTTAGAGTAATGTTTATGAACAAAACATGTAATTATGCACTAGTCTTAGTGCTGCTTACATGACATATAGGAGAAATAGGAACAACAGAAACATGAATCAGGAGAGGCATATACGTGAATTATGGATCTTCAATTTCAATATTTGTAAGGTCCCTCTTACTAATGCAAAACAATGCAAAATGCTTATGGGTTATAATTATTCCCCTGAGGGTCAGAGACCAAAAATTATAAAATTGATTCCTAGATATAATGATATCCTTCAAAACGGAACCAACCAGAACCTTTGCTTTCATCTCTGCTCTACTAAGGTCTCTTGTCTGATGTCGAAGTCTTCATTTTTTCTCTCATAGCAGGACACGCTGCATCAAATGTGGTGACATGGATATGCAAGGTGTAGCCCAGCATCTTGTTACACATCACAAACAAGACAGCAAAGTCTATCTTCCAAGAGGTTCTATAAATTGGCCCATGGGATTTTGAGATCTGATACAGCCTTGTCTACTCTAAACCAGAAAACATGCAAACAGCTTCTTCTAACTTCTCTGTTATAAATGCCCCCTGCAAGCCTGCTAGGAATCATTCAAGAATCCCATAAGTTATTAATTTTTTTTACTGTTTACTGATTTGTAAGACCATTTTTCCAGGGGTGCCTGGGTGGCTCAGTTGGTTGAATGTCTGACTCTTGATTTTGGCTCCTGTCATGATCCCAGGGTCATGGAATTTAGCCCTGTCTCAGGCTCTCTCTCTCTCTCTCTCTCTCTCTCTCTCTCTCTGCTTCTCTCCCTTGCTTGTAATCTCTATCTCTCTCTCTAAAAAAAAAGAACCCCATAAATTAGTTTTTTTTACTCACTGATTTGTAAGACCATTTTTCCAGAAGCATATGTACCCACATCACAGAACAATAGTGTAAAGGTATATATAATGCTCATTTTCAGCAGTGAGTTTTAATTTGCTCTTTTCCTTGACATTTTGGAGTACTGGTCTAAGGAAAATAAGAGAAATATTCTCTTAGCCAACACAAGCAATTCCAGAGAAAGATTTCATCCCTTGGTGATGAAAATATTACATTCATATCTTAATGACATCAGTTCATAGGCTTTTTGACTCAGAGTTCTCCAAAGGCAATCACAGATCCATAAAGTGTCCCCCAAGGCTAGATTTTTGTCAACTGTTCCAGTTGCCGGGTTTGAGGAAGCCCAGAATCAGACCCACCTGTCTGATAGCACTGCTACACATCACTGAGGAGCATAAATCCATTCAGTTAAGTATGCTCAAAATTCAGAGTGTAACTGTATGTTAAGGATGATATTGATAATAAAGTTTCCTCGTACAGTTTGAAGTTTTTCTCCAGTATTATGTATAGATACAATGCTGAGAAATCTTAAGAAACCTTTTTAGTAATTTTACATCATATTTGTGTTGCAATTTGGCTCATCTCTATGTCGTCAGATCCTCTTCCACATTTTATTTTCTTCAGATGATCTTGAACGGTGAATTTACCATTCCCATAGTAAGTCAGAATTTGGCTGTAGTGAAATTTTTAAGAGCATTTTCATTTGGAGGTGAAGTTTGGTTTCTAACAGCCAGAAAGATGATGTTTTTCACCAATAGTATTACTAGAATGACTCATGAATGGCTTCCATTTAAAAAGATATTGCATTTATTAATGGTTGTTTTAAATAACTTCTCTTTCAAAAAAGTATATCCTTTCTTGTCACTTATTTCACAGACATCTGAAGATGAAATTCAATCTTTAATAAGTAAACTTGCATTATCAATTCACACACATACTTTTTCTTCTATCTCAAGTATTAATTTTCATATGATTATATGTATTCTAGATTCTGGCTTCTAAGAGAATAAAAGTAAAGTAAGATCTATGTCTCCTTTGAAAATCTTTTGGATTTGTGATAAATTTGTGAAAATACTCCTTAACCTTCATGAATTTTCAATATTGATTTACCATTATGAAATATTTTCACACTATCTTGAAATACATTTGAATTACCTGAGAATTTCCAAATGGTAGCTTTGATGACATTATTGCCAAGATCAATTTATAATCACAGGATATTTTAATCCAGTTAAAAGATTATGGAATGATATAGATTTCATTTGTATTTATATAAAGCTTCAGTCTTATACTATATCAAGAGTAGTCGAATGATTCTTATCTCAAGAAGAGTCCTAAGTTCCAAACTATGGCTAATGATCACTATGGTGGACTGAATAATGTTCTCCCAAAGAGATCCATGTCCCAATTTCCAGAATCTGTGAATGTCACATAACATAGCATCATGTAAGTGTAGCTATCAATAGTGAGATGAAGGAAATACTTCAAAGTAAAATATTTGTAAGATATTATCATTTCCAAGGGGATTCTCCAAAGTTTTGTGGTTTGTTCGTATGGTTTTGATGTTTTGATTTTGGTTTTATTCTCCTAAACTCTTATTGTTTATAATATAGACATATAAATGATGTAGGAACATCACAATATAAAATTAAGCCAGTTTGAATATCACTTCTTATTCTTTTGGCCATTCCTAGTGTGAACTTTTGTAGTTATAAATGCTAAACAACATTATGGGGACTATAGCCTCAGTTATTTAGCAATTCAACCTGAGGGTCCTGCTATTCTCTGTGAGAATGCCCTTCAACTCCTATCATAGCAAAAACAACAGAAATGTAAAACCTACAAATAAAAAGAAAAATTCAATTTTCACCTTTGGGGGAGTATTCATGCTCTGGAATTTACTCATACCATAAAGATGAATTCCGAATCTATAGATACTCTCAAAATGTTTATATATAGCTTTCTCTTCTTAATTATCTTTGGGATAACACTACTATCATGTTTTGTTGTTTATTGAAATCAAGAATTAAAGAAACACATACACAACTTATTCATTCAATCCCAAATTCTACCTATGTCTTCTAAATATTTTATTGCTCTCACTTTCTCTTTTTTTGTTAATGGCATCTTATATTTTCACATTTATCTTCACTGTCCACTCAAATCCATCGGGTCTCTGGATGTGCAACATTCATTATTTTCCTGCCGTTAGCAAAATGCTTTTAATATCTCCTCTCTCACTTTATTTGTGCCCTAGGTAATTTTATCAAGCCTCATATCTTCAGAAAAATTCTATATGCTGATGACACCCACATTTTATTTCAAGACCCTAATGTAAAGATGAACTCATGCATTCAACTACCTACTCGTCATTTCCATTTTGATTTTTAATAAACATATGAAAGTTAATAAGATAAAACAGAACATTTGGTTTTCCTTTCAGATCTGCTTCTCTGTCTCTTTACCACCTTATTAAATGTCACAACTATTCACCTGATTGCTAAGGCCAAAATCCTAATATTTATGATTGATTCATCCTTTTAATCATACTCTACGTCCTTTATACCAGCAAGTCCTATTGGGTTAACCTAATAACCTTGTTACTTCTCAACACCTTCCCCCTCTGGTTCAAACCACTATAGTCTCTCACTTAGACTACAGTAATAACCACCCTTCCAGTACTCCCTCTTCTACACTGCTCCCATACAATGATTTGTCAACATACCAGTCAACATATTTTATACATTTAAATCATATCATATCATCACACCCCTATTTACAACTCTTCAATGAATTCTGATCACTTGAAATCAACTTCAAAAGTCTAACATGGCTAATGGGACTATATGGTCTGGCTCCCATGTATTTCCCCAACTTTTCCTCCTCACTCTTTCATTTAGTTCTTCTTTCCTTCTCCCTAGTCCTCATTTCCACTTCAAGGCATTTGTTATTGCTAATTCTTCTGCCAGGAACCCTGTTCCTGCTGATATTTACCTGACAATTCCCACTCCCACATTTAGTTCTCTGATTAATCGAAGTGTCCTCAGAGAAACCTTCCCTTACCACTCAATCTAAATTATCTACTGCACCTTTACCTCCCTTAGGGTGCATTTATATATAATTTGGCTTCCCTATGAGAATGTAAACACTATAAGAGCAGGGATTTTACATATTTCACCTCTGCATTTCAGCACCAGGGACAATTCATAGAACCTGAAAAGTCACACAGTTAGTTTTATTTGGTAAAAGATTAGGAAAATTTATATTGATAACTAACTAATTATAAAATTTGTGTAATATTCCTAATAATATTTACATCTTTTCTATTTTTATTCTAAGTTTCTTCTGACTCAGAAATACGTCCTTGGAATGGAGTCATATGACAGAAGGGAGTGCTATGAACAAAAATACTTATTTACCATGCTGGAATTAGGTCCCATTTTGAATACATGCATTGATATAAGAATTAGTATCTTGAGAGTACATTCATTCATAGGTGGGTTGATAAAATTGTGGGTCTGTAATTGCAAAGTTGATAGGCAGACGTAATTCACTATGAGGGCCCAGACTGAGTAGCAAATTATCTCCTAAATATTATGGACTTCAACTGAACTGAAAGAAAATAGATGAAGATAGTTGTTACAGTCTGATTGAACAAAGGATGGATGTCAATATTGGTATATATATTTATGCTATTATAAGCTTAGTGGCTATCTTTAAGTTTAGTCTCAATAAGATAAACCACTGATCATAGAAAAATATCTACTTTTATCCATCAATATAAAAAATTCTGGTAGCTATGTCTCTAACATAGAAATGAAAAATTACTTTAGAGAAAACAGTTAAATTAGAGGATTGTGTTAGAGTTTGCACTATTTCATTTTTTTTTTGACTTAGCTCTAATCAGCCAAACTTCAAATTCTCAACTATTTTATATTGATATTTTCAGTCACTTAATTAAAATAGCAAGTGCAGAAAATTGCATTTAATGTCTCAAATCAATGAATGTTAAATGTTCTCAAAGTGCAAATATTCATAAGTTCAAAGCCTATATTTATGAATAATAACAAATCAACTTTATACAAAGAAGTTGGACACAAAAATTTTCTTGATTATTGAAAACAGACATGGCGTATCTATATTGTGAATATCTTTTTTTTGTTGTGAATATCTAATAGTGAACTATTATTTAGTAGTTAGCTGCCCTACAATGCCTTTAACCTTTATGTTAAAAAGAGAAAAGGTGGGGCGCCTGGGTGGCGCAGTCGGTTAAGCGTCCGACTTCAGCCAGGTCACGATCTCGCGGTCCGTGAGTTTGAGCCCCGCGTCGGGCTCTGGGCTGATGGCTCAGAGCCTGGAGCCTGTTTCTGATTCTGTGTCTCCCTCTCTCTCTGCCCCTCCCCCGTTCATGCTCTGTCTCTCTCTCTGTCCCAAAAATAAATAAAAAAAATAAAAAAGCTATTTCTTTAAAAAAAAAAAATTAAAAAAGAGAAAAGGTTAACTCAGAGAAGCATGTTTTACATAAATGATTAATAGGTTATTAGGGCAAATTTTCATTTTATTTTATCTTTTTTCATCAGAAGCATTTTGTAAAGTTAATTTATTTATTTTGAAAAAGAGAGTGCAGGAGGGGGAGGGGCAGAAAGAGAGGGAGACAGAGAGAATCCCAAGCAGGCTCCCTTGGATTCTGATGTTGGGCTCAATCTCATGAACCATGAGATCATGACCTGAGCTGAAATCAAGAGTTGGGCGCTTAACCAACTGAGCTACCCAGGCGCCCCTCGTCAGAAGTATTTTGAAGTTGAGTCCAGAATACATTACCATTTGATTGTCATGACTTGCTCTTATATGACTCATACCTCTGTTCTCTCATTTAGGTATATTTTCTTCCTGGTTTAACTGAATATATCCAATTTTAACATAATTTAAGAATTTAGATAAAAAAATCTATGTAACCATGTATACTTTATTGGGCATCAGAGTGGGATACTTGGAGAGACATGGAGAGACAAAACAAATATTTTGCAATAAGGAGGGAAAAAGGAATCTGATAAATTTCAAAATAAGTCACAAATAGATATAGGAACATAACTGTCTCACAAGACATGTTTTAAGTGAAATCAGCATCCATTTCAGCTGCACTATACAGCAAGCAGTATAGTGTATTGGTTAAGAGACCAGGGTTTAAAGCCACTACACTCCTGGCTTAAATTCTGACTATACCAAAAAAGTATCCTGGGCAAATTGATTCTTTGTTCTTCAGTTTCCTTTTCTATAAAATGGGACTAGTAACAATAACTACTTCATGCAGTTGTCATTGTTTTAATTTTGTACATTACTATGAAAATGTCTTACAAAGTGCTTGATATGTAGTATGTTCTTAGCAGTTATCTGTATATATTCCCTTCAGTATGTATAGAGTAAGTTCTTTGATTTAAAAAAAAAAAAAGTTTGGAAATTTTGCATGTTTTGTCCTTATCCATCCATATTCTCTGTTTTTTTTAATATTCTTAACAATTATTCTAAAACTATAGCTGCAAGAGTCCCAGATTGGATTCCCAATGTTGGCACCTCTTGTATACTGTTTATTTACACTGAAATCTTTCTTGAAGGATCTTGGTTGTTTTCATAAGGAAGAGGATCTAACAGCAAAAATCACCATGCCGTATTTCCTAAATATTGAAGTGAACTGGGCCAATTGACTGGGCCAGTGTTTGCACAGGATCCTCTCCAAAGACATCCAGACCAAAAGCCTAAGCATATGAAATTCAAGAAAAATTTATGCATACTAAATGCATTGAATCAAGGAAAATGTGGGAGAAAAAAAGGCCCTATTCAATATATATATTATTTTTCCAACAATATGAAACAAAGTACAATTTAGCACTTGATTAAATTCAGTTGAAGGTAAAATATATAATCTAGAGTTCATAGTCTAACATCATTTAGTTATTATGTGCTTTAATCCTCCTTAAAAATAGTATATTCTAGATACCAGTTTCTTCCCAAGTTTCAGATTGATTTTTTTCCAGTTATTTTTCTGTTCATTTTTTCAATATACTTACTAAATGCATGTTTTCTGGAACCTAACTGTGTACTCTGGATTGTATCTCAAAGAGAGAATCCAGGTATCCATTTACATTTTCCCTTGTATGTGTAGTTATACTAACGTATAAAAGACTCCAGTAGTTTTACATGACTCAGCATTGCTGCACTGTTATTTTGTATTGAGTCAAATTAATCACACTTGAACAACTTTTAAAAACTATGGCTCAAGAGGTGTCAAACTATTAAATATTTTTCTATTATAAGGACAGAGAATTGTTCACTGCAGAGAATAAAGTACCACTTTTGCATATATTACACAAACATTTTATGCTTCATGAAACCACAATAAATTTTCTTGCTGATTACTCGTGTAATCTAAGGATCTCCTGCTGTTTTATAGAGAGTCTTATTAATTTCACTCAAGTAGTAAAATTAGCACCTGTAGAGAACTCTTTAAGATTTTTTAACTTTTATCATATTAGTAATAACCTACTTCATTTATCATAGAACAGTTGCTTTACTCTGTCTATCTATTTAGCTTTGGTGTTCTCTGCATTTAATTTTTTTTTTTTTTGAAAAAAGAAGGCAGAATTGGATATGGAATAATATGGTAAGAAATCTTAGCCTTCAATTCAATCAGATTTAAATAAATCAGGCTCTGAAGTTAGCTAAGCATCCCAGACTTAAAGAAAGAATGAAAGAAAGAAAGAAAGGGAGGAAGAAAGAGAGAAATGTACCTGTCCTTTGATGGATAGCATTATTGGATACAACTTAACACAATTATGGAATGATTTACTGAATAGTACTCTCATGGCCTGAGCAAGTTAATAAACTTTCTTTTTGTCACTGTGAGAAGCACTACTAAACATTTTTCACTGTCTCCTTCAGAAGTATTTCATACCCAATGAATTTATATTTATTTGTTAGGCTGCATCCATATTTGAAGTGAACCAAAATATTCTCTGAGACTTCCCTGCATTCCAACACAGGAAGAGCCACAGCAAAATCATGAAGATTGGTTCAGTGGTGCAGCCTGAGTCAGTTGGGGAAACTGAAGGAAGGTTCAGGAATAAATGAATTTGGGTAGAGAATGGTTTGCAAGGTAGAAAAGAAAGCATACTCTTACTAAATTCCTACTGCCAGACCATATGCTGGATGAATTCCTTAAGGCTTCTCTTTCATCCTCCTCCTGAGTATCATGGAGTCTAAGGAACATGGCTTAGTTAGTTCAGCTTGTCTTCTGTGAGGGCAGAATTCACACAGTAGTCTGAACACAAAGTAGCCTGAAGCCTGAACTCAAGCTTTTCTTGTATAACAGCATATTGTTTCTGGAGAAGGTGGAAATCGCCTCAGACAAAACTAATAAGAACTTACATTTTATGTGATCTCCCAAATAAAGAGTTGGTTTACTTCTTTCTTTGTTCCTCTTTTCTTTCTTTTTTTCTCTAGCGTCCTGTCTTTTTACCTTGCTTTGACTTTTTATTTGATCTCAGTCACGCTCCCTCATTTTTTTATGCTGAAGCGAAGTGGTATGCACATGGAAGATGCTTGAAGTTTTAAAACCGTTTTAAATATACAGTTTTAACTTTAAATATAAAGTTTTAAATATACACTGAAGCATGGAATCTGGAGTCAGAATGTCTGGGTTTAAAACCCAGCTTTAGTTTTTATTACCTTCATGAACATGGACATAGTATAGCACCTTGTTCACCAATACATTACTAAAAAATGAGGACAATAAGAGTTATTACTTAATATAACTATGTTAGCATTAATGAGTTAATATATTCCAAAGTTTAGTATAGATTTCTTCCATTTATTAAGGGTAATATAATATATACCATTTCATAAGACAACTTATTTTTTGTATTTAAAAAAAATGTTTAATGTCTATTTGTTTTTGAGAGAGAGAAACAGAGCATGAGCAGGGGAGGGGCAGAGAGAGAGAGAGAGAGAGGGAGACATAGAATCTAAAGCAGGCTCCAAGGCCTGAGTTGTCAGCACAGAGACTGATGTGGCGTTCAAACTCATGTGGGGTGAGATCATGACCTGAGCCGAAGTGGGATGCTTAACCAACTAAACCACCCAGCAGCCCCAAGACAGCCTATTTTTATTGCTTTTCCTACAAGATGTCCCCCTATCATCCTTCCTGTATTTAATAGCACCATAGATGTCCTAGATCAACTTCCTTGAGTAATACTTTCTGGGAATTGACCTCCATCCTTCTTTTCTATCATTCCAAATTTGTTCCTTGAAACATTACATATTATGTTTACTTTATTTCTTTTATTGGTTTGGCACTGCAGTTCATTCTCATTTAGGGAACTTCTATCCTAACAGGTCCTGTATGCCATTTTAATACTTTTCCTTCTTGTTCTTTGTTTTCTAGTCATTTCTTTGCTAATATTAGAAGCTTCTCCTTCTTCAGTTCTTCACTTGCCTATAAGACATCAAAGTGCATAAATTCAGTAGACAATTGGTTATAGATTTCTGGTGCTTTGAACAGAAGTCTTTCTGAAAATGTAGCTTTAGGAGATACAGGAATACAATTGGTAATCAAAGCC